GTACGAGGACCCGACGCTGCCGCAGGGCTGGACGCGCAAGCTCAAGCAGCGCAAGTCGGGCCGCTCGGCCGGCAAGTACGACGTCTACCTGATCAAGTGAGTGCGGCGCGGCGCGGGGGCGCGGGGACGCGGGGGCGCGGGGACGCGGGGACGCGGGGAGCCCGGCACCCCGATCGCGCTGGGACACGGGGACACGGGGATACGGGGACACGGGGATACGGGGACACGGGGACACGGGGAGCCCGGCACCCCAATCACACCGGGACATGGGGATACAGGGAGCCGGGCATCCCGATCGCACCCGGACACGGGGACATGGGGATACGGGGACACGGGGATACGGGGAGCCCGGCACCCCGATCACGCCGGGACACGGGGACACGGGGACACGGGGATACGGGGATACGGGGACACGGGGGCGCGGGGATACGGGGATACGGGGACACGGGGATACGGGGAGCCCGGCATCCCGATTGCACCGGGACACGGGGATACAGGGACCCCCGGCACCCCGATCGCGCCGGGCGACACAGGGATACAGGGAGCCCGGCATCCCAATCACACCGGGACACGGGGACACGGGGACACGGGGAGCCCGGCACCCTGATCGTGTGGGGATACAGGGATACAGGGAGCCCGGCACCCCGATCGAGCCGGGACACGGGGATACGGGGAGCCCGGCACCACGATCACACCGGGACACGGGGACATGGGGACACGGGGATACGGGGAGCCCGGCATCCCAATCGAGCCGGGACACGGGGATGCGGGGAGCCCCGGCACCCCAATCGCGCCGGGACACGGGGACATGGGGACATGGGGACACGGGGAGCCCGGCACCCCGATCGCACCGGGACAAGGGGACATGGGGATATGGGGAGCCCGGCATCCCGATCGAGCCGGGACACGGGGACACGGGGAGCCTGGCATCCCAATAGCACGGGGACACGGGGATACAGGGACCCCGGCACCCTGCTCACACCGGGACACAGGGACATGGGGATACAGGGAGCCCAGCACCCCAATCGAGCCAGGGCGCGGGGACGTGGGGATCCCCCGCACCCCGCTCACATGGGGACACGGGGATCCCCGGCACCCCACTCACACTGGGATGCGGGGACACGGGGAGCCCGGCACCCTGCTCACACTGGGACACGGGGATGAAGTGCGGGGACCCCCGGCACCCCACTCACACCGGGACGCGGGGACACGGGGATCCCCAGCACCCCACTCACACCGGGATACAGGGACATGGGGACCCCCGGCACCCCGCTCACACCGGGACGCGGGGACGCGGTGCGGGGCCACCGGCACCCCAATCGAGCCGGGACGTGGGGACCCCCGGCACCCCGCTCACACCGGGCCGCGGGGCCGCTGGACGCGGCGCGGGTCCCCCCGTCCCCCCGCTGACGCCGCGCCCGCGCAGCCCGCAGGGCAAAGCCTTCCGCTCCAAGGTGGAGCTCATCGCCTACTTCGAGAAGGTGGGCGACACCTCGCTGGACCCCAACGACTTCGACTTCACGGTGACGGGCCGCGGCAGCCC